GTAGAAGAAAGTGCCTTCCTTAGCATACCTGGTCTTGGAGTGGGGAATGGCTAAGCTCTTGGACAACCTGAGCTGTTGAGATGCTCAGGGAATAGAGAACCTATCGCAAACATTGAGGTGAGAGCTGGCCTCTAGGATTCGCTTAGGCCGATTCTGATCCAGTAAGTGGCCCTCTAGCCCTGTAGCAATCCCTTTCCTCCAGCCCTTAGACTCAGCCAATCTGACTCTGGGCAACCTCTTCTCACCCAGAGTTTCTGGGAAGTGTAAGGTCCAGGAAAGTGTGAGTTTGGCATAATTTATTGAACATTTGGCATTATTATTACAATGCTGATGGAAAATAACAAAAAAGGAATTTGACCACAATCCAGCCATCTCAACCAAATCCTCCTTCCCTCCCTTTTTTCTCCTCCTCTTTTCTGCCTCCCTTCCTTCCTTTCTCTTTCCTTTGAATTTTCCTTCCAGAATGTGTCTACATACATACAACACAAATGAAGAAAAGGAAAGATGGAGAACAATTGGTTAATTCTAGGGATAATTCTATCAGGCTTGAAATTTGATAATATGAATAGGGTTAAATCGAGTGATCCTTAGTCTCGCCTCTAGAACAGATTATAACCACGTAGAAGTAGCTAGGCATCTTTAGGAATCGGGGTCTCAAATGTATTAAGCTTTAGGTACTTGACAAAGATCATTGAGTGAGTGCTTACAGAGTGCTAATCACTTTACAAACAATAACTCATTTAATCCGCTTAACAACTCTAGGAACTATTATTACCATCACTTCCGTCTCACAGATGGGGAAACAGAGGCACAGTCAGGTTTGGTAACTTGCCCAAGAGTACCCAGCTAGTAAGGGGCATTGGGTCCAGGGGCCACATTTTCAACCGCTAATCTCTCCTGCCTCTTGTGAATGCATCTGGTAGAGACAGTGGTCCAGAGCACAAAAGTTGGCGAGGTGGGCATCTCTGTGCTCAGCATATAGACACTGCTCTAGAAGCCTCGCTCTGCACTTCAGAGCCAGATTCTCTGTCAACAGCGGGTCTATTAATAGAAGCTTTTTCTGATGATTGAAAGTAAGTTGTGGGTAGTGTGATGCATATCCCCAGTATTTACTACCTCAGGAACACAGCAGACGTAATGAAGGAGGGAAGGTTGTAATTGTAGAAAAACATCAATTCTACTAACAGAAATCAGTGGCAGCCAGAGACGTTCTCCCCAGGTTTCCGGCTCTGCTGGTGGCCCCTCCACCAGACTCCATGCAGGCAGGAACCCCCCAGAGGAGGAAAGGGGCCTGTTATAGGAGTCATCAACCTGTCACCACGGCTAGGGTGAATATGGCTTCTGAGTTGGGGGGAGGGGGTGGAGGCTTAGTCTTTAGCACCAGCAGCTGCAAGAATGGGGGGTTGGCAGGGGGAGGCTGGAGGTGGAGAGTCCTTCTGTGCCTAGGGCCTGGGAACAGACATTTATTGAGTCAGCAAGGCTCCGTGCTAGGCAGCATTTGGCGTTTAACAGGAGCAAGGTGGTACGTCCCGTCAGCGGCATTAACAGTCTGTGACTGCGCGCTTGTTTGGGACTGTGTGCGAGGGAAAGATGAGGTGACGCAACTGCACAAATGACGGCACCGAGGGCTGAGACAAGAACCCGGATCAATAGGAACAACATGCTGAACTTGGTGGGGGGGCGGTGGGGACAGCCAGCCAGGACGCAGAGGGACTTGTCTTGGTCCGGCAGGGTGTCCCTGACCCGGGCAGGCAGAGAGACGGGCTTCTCTCTGCTGGAGACGCAGGAGGAATTGGGGAACATAGTTTGGCTCAAGGGGAGTGGAAGGGAGGGGAAGTAGTGTCAGGCACCCACTGTGCTGGATGCTGTATTTTGCAAAGATTCTCTCATTTAACCCTTGCCTCACCTCCTCTGGGGGTTGGGCACTGTTGTTATTCCAATTTTGCAGATGAGGAAGTGGAGGCTTAGAATGACTTCTGCAAGGTCTCCCACAGCTGGGTGGCAGAGGCCAGGGTCTGTGCGCCCAGCCAGTCACTCTGCGCCAGGCCCACAGGCAAACTTGTGCAGTAAGTCCAAGTAAAGGGAAGCCCAGGTGGGAGGTTTCTTTGTGGTGGGCATGAGAAATGGCTGTATTGTTCTCACAGTTCCCTGCTTCCTCCCGGCCACCATCTCCTGCTGAGGACGACCCAGTAGTGATGATAAGTTGGGTGCTTTTTTCCAGGGCAGGTCCCACGGCACCGTTATTCAGGGTAGGGGACCAGGGTGTGCAGATCGGTCGGAGACGGTGAAGAGGCCGGTGGACAGATGGACGGACGCTGCCGGGAGGACAGGAGGGGCCAGGCAGGCGACCGCGAGAATGAACCTGAAGCCCCAGGGACCCGGGCTTCAGAGCCGGCGGGGACCCCGTGAACCGGTGCGGTGGAGTGGCGAGGCCTCCTCCGTCCCCGACTGCGTCCCCGTCCCCGGAGCTCGCCCGGGGTTGCAGGCTATCGCAGAGTCGCCTCCCGCCCGGCCTCCTCGGCCTCCTCGCCCAGCGCGCGGCAGCTTGCGGGGCGGTCAAGTCGAAGTGGGGCAGTGATCCGCCGCGGAGAGGAACCGAGGCTCCCGGCTGCGCGACTTAACCCGCTGCGGGACCCGGGCAGAGGCGTGAACTTCTAAGAAAGGTTAATAGTGACAACAGTAACAATATGCTGTGCGTTTGCTCACCCCACGTGATAGGAGCCAAATGAGATCCTTGATTCGATAAACACGCATGTCATACCCACCTACTACCTGACAGGCACTGCACTAGGCTCTTTCATTCTAAAATATTTCTTTATTCCTGTCTTTTTGGATAAGTTTTATTGTAATATCATGTACAAAAAAAGTGCCTAAAATCAACAAAATATCACAACATGAACACACCTGTGTAATGAGCAACAGATCAAGAAGCAGAACACACCCAGCCTCTCACCACCCACCAGGGGAGCCACTACGCTGACATCTGACACCCACAAATAGTTCTTTTCATTCAACAAATAAATGATTCCCGAAGGGCATTGTACACAACCAATAGAGTGCTGTTAATAAGAGGCTCCATTACCTAAGTGAGTTGCTGTTGAGCCAGGACGGGATTTGTGGGAGTACTTGCCTTTCCCGGATCTTTTCAAGGGACTGAAGCCCCGGGTTCTCACACCCACCCCTACACAGACCACCTAGGCACCTCCTGTGATCCCTGGGGTTCCTTGGTGGAATGAGACCTTTCCCCCTGAGGACCCTTCCTTCTGTGACTAATGAGAGTGGTTAAATATTATTCAGAAATACGAGGGCAATTCGGAAAGATGGCTTGTTGCAGTGTTTATTGTTACTAAAACCAATACTATTAATGAATTTATAATAATAACAACCCATGTTTGAAGGTGAATGTCTCCAGTCTGAGGCTCCTCATAAATGTGGGGCCTGGGATTCATCATAAAACCTCAAAGAGTTTCCATGGCTCTAAGAAAGAACTGGAGACTTCTTTAGAAATCTTCAGAGGAGAGTGTTTCTGCCTATAGCAGCAGCGTCTTCCTATTGAACAGAACCTGAAGTCCCACAGGATGGTAGATGAGAATGGCCCACCTTCATTGTTACCATGTGCGGCCATGAGTCCCAACCTAAAAATTGTTAACAGCAGGAGAGGCACGGATCCTAAGGAGTTTTTTCCCCTGCATGTTCTCTTCCTATTAGACAGGGTAATGAGTGATGCTCTAGCCTCTTTTCTTAGGTTGCCTGGCCTGGGTTTGCATCAGGATAGTGCCCAGACAAGTCTCTTTGAACATCAGAAGTCTTTAGCTATAGAACTGAGACCTCCATGACACCAGCTCTTTCCCAAAGGAGTTAGATGTCCCCAGAACAGGAGCAGCATCCGGTATGGAGAAAATGACAGAGTAACAATTCCTCATATACAAGCGGAGATTTACAGTTGACAAAGCACTGACTATTTCTCCATCTATTTGGTGGACTTAATGTGAATACTTTCCTGGGTTTTGTTTCTGTGATGATGGAAGGGTGTGGGATACAAAGACCCCTTGATAAGTTTGAAGGTGACTTTGGCTTTAGCTCTAGAGTCACACAGATTTAGACTTGAGTCCCCCTCTGCCATGTACTTGCTTTGTGACCTTAGGCAACTCTGTTCACATTTCCTTTTTTTTTTTTATAAATTTTTTTAATGTTTTCTTTCTTTCTTTTTTAAAAATTTATTTATTTATTTATTTATTTATTTACAAATAGTTTATTGTCAAATTAGTTTCCACATAACACCCAGTGCTCATCCCCACAAGTGCCCTCCTCCATGCTAATGTTTTATTTATTTCTGAGAGAGACAGCGTGAGCAGGGGAGGGGCAGAGAGGGAGGAAGACACAGAATCTGAAACAGGTGCCAGGCTCTGAGCTAGCTGTCAGCACAGAGCCTGACATGGGGCTTGAACCCACAAACCATGAGATCATGACCTGAGCCGAAGTCGGATGCTTAACCGACTAAGCCACCCAGGCGCCCCTCTGTTCACATTTCTAAACTTGTGTCCTCAACTTAAAAATGTATATGATAGTATCACCTAGTTAGCCCATAGGCTGTTGTGAAGTTTAAATTGTATGACACAAATAAAGCACTTAGCCGGTGCTTAGAGCATTGTAGGTATAATAATAGTTAGGTTTAACTATATATACATTATCAATGTTGTTATGTAATATCATTCTTATAGACATGGCGGAAGTCATTCTGATTTGACAGGTAACAGAAAGTGTTGAACTACTAACATATGCTGTATCATGCATAAATCTTTAAAAAATTATGCTAAGTGAAAGAAGTCAGACACGAGATCACCTATCATATGATTCCATATATCTAAAATGTCCAGAAAGGGCAAATTTATAACAACAGAAAGCAGATTTATGGCGGCCTCAAGCTGGAGGTGAGAAGGGAGATTGACTGTAAAAGGGCTTTAGAGAAGGCTAAAAATGATCTAAAACTGATTTATTTTGTGCTCACTTCGGCAGCACATATACTCAAATTAGAATGGTACAAAGAAGATTAGCCTGGCCCCTGTGCAAGGATGACATGCAAATTCGTAACATGTTCCGTATTAAAAAAAAAAAAAAAGGATTTATTTTGATGATTGCGCCACTGGGCAAAGTAACTAAAAATCACAGATTTGTACACCCGAAATGAGTGAGTTTTATGATATATAAAGAATAAAGTTTTAAAAAATTGTAATTTTTATTTATTTTTGAGAGACAGAATATGAGCAGGCAAGGAGCAGAGAGAGAGAGACAGGAAGATGCTCCAGGCTCTGAGCTGTCAGCACAGAGCCTGATATGGGGCTCGAACCCATGAACTGTGAGATCACGACCTGAGCTGAAGTTGGACACTCTACAGACTGAGCCACCCAGGGGCCCCAATGTAGTTGTTTTAAAAACTCAGAAACTGTCACAGGAGAAGGGGAAGAACAGACTCCAGGTTGTCAATGAGGTGTTCTTTAGACTATGGTACAGTCGTTTGCTTCCATTGGGTAGAAGAGAAAAGGCAAACAGCGGGGGGGGGGGGGGGGGGCTACTGTTAGAATATTCATTAAATAAGGGAGAAATAAATACAATTGGAAGAATGTAGAGATGGTAGTACCTTAAGGAAGGGAAAATGAAGAAGGATAAGCTTTTTTGGGGGGGGGGTACAAAAAAGTAGTAATTGTGACTGTTATTCAACTTGTAGTATTATAAAAGGCTTTATATTCTTGGGGTGCCTAGCTGCCTCAGTAGAGTATGTAACTCTTGATATCAGTGTCATGAGTCTGAGCCCCACAGTGGTCATGGAGCCAACTTAAAATAATAAATAAATAAAAAGAAAAAGCTTTATATTCTACAGCTTTCTTAGTATTCTACAAAGCTTAATCACTTTCTAAAAGCTTTATACACATCATCTGGTTTAAATTGCATAACATATTATAAAATGAGTGCTATTATCCCCATTTCAGAGGTCATGAACTTGAAGCATAGAAGAGTTAAATAACTTGACCAAAGTCATAAGCTAATACATGGCAGTGAAGATGGGAACCCAGATAATTTGTTCCAGAACACCTGCATTTTACAATGATGCTTCTAGTGCATCTGAAAGTGAGGAGAGGGACATCAGACTTCTGAGCAAAAATAGAGGTGTGTGGGGCGCCTGGGTGGCTTAGTCGGTTAAGCGTCCGACTTTCGCTTAGGTCATGATCTCGCGGTTCGTGGGTTCGAGCCCCGCGTCGGGTTCTGTGCTGACTGCCAGCTCAGAGCCTGGAGCCTGTTTCAGAGTCTGTATCTCCCTCTCTCTCTGACCCTCCCCTGCTCACGCTGTCTCTCTCTCTCTCTCTCTCCTAGAAATAAATAAAAAAAAAAATTTTTAAAAAGAAAAAAAAAATTGAGGTGTGTGTGTGTGTGTGTGTGTGTGATCCTGGGATATTCTGAGGCTTTACCTAAGGAAATATGATGTTGATTTATGTAAATAAGAACCATATCAGACATGTTGGTGGGAGTGGACCCTCTCAGTTTATTGCTGCTAGGTGCCATGTTTTTATATGACTATTTAAAAAGGTCAGACAATGGGGCGGCTGGGTGGCTCAGTCGGTTAAGTGTCCGACTTCGGCTCAGGTCATGATCTCATGGTTTGGGAGTTTGAGCCCCACGTGGGGCTCTGTGCTGACAGCTCAGAGCCTGGAGTCTGCTTCGGATTCTGTCTTTCTCTCTCTCTGACCCGCTCCTGCTTACACTCTGTCTCTCAAAACTAAATAAACATTAAAAATTAATAAAAAGGCCAGACAACTTCTTCATGTCTGCATGTTTGAAGTGTGGCGGTACTTATTTCCCATAGTATGAATTGAACTCATGATTCTGAGACAACATTCAGACTAATTTATACAATCCCAGAATCCAGCCCATGGTCCTCTCTCCCAGCCTCTTTCACAGTGTCCCTCCTTCAGCCGACAGTGCCCATCCCACTCCAATTTCTGTCCCTGGAAATCCTTCTCAACTTTTCAGTGGTATTTCCTTCACAGAGTATAACACTTTTCTGGATTAAATAGAAACAAGAACTGTGTTTTAAAATGATCTCTCATGGTTAGCTGCATTGAGAGAGAATACGTGCTACATTGACACAGAGCTTAAGAAGTAATGGATTAAAAACTGCAATCCTTTCAAGGGCATAAAAATTTAAATAAATTAAAAAAAAACTGCACCTAATCGTTTTGTTTGAATAGTACAAGTAGATAAAGTGGAAGTAATAGTCTCACTTCTTCCATTCTTTTGGTTTAAAAGATTTAAAAAACTGTTTGCATACATGAAACAGGCAATTTGTAAGTTGAAAGGAAAGGAATTCAAGTCTCTTAGATGCTGTACAGGGATGAGGGGAGGTAGAAGAGACCGTTAACGTAGTAATGAAAAGATCAGAGAGCGCTGGGCAGGTGATAACGATCTGGTAGTCTGAGCATGGGAAGGGATATGATTTTTAAAAATCTTTATTGTTTTCAGTGTGTGGGAAATACAAAATTAATGCATGCTTACTTTAAAAGAAATCCAACTTTCTTTAAAATATATAATGTGGGAAGTTAATATTCCACTACCTCTCTCTCAGGATCACCGCAAAGATAAACCATAACAGTTGGGTATATATTTCTCCAGGTGTATGTACATATAAAATATACACATATTTCCCTTATAACCATCTATGAAATAAGAAGCCATTAGTCATAGCTGAGTTGTAGACATTTACTTACAATTTTTTTTCCTGCACTTTAATGAACGTGGAATCATACCATATTTACTTTTATAACTCACTTTTTCATTTAATGTAAGCTTAGACTCGTTTGCCTGTGAACACATCTCTTCTACAGAGTATTTCTTGGAAAAAAAGAGAGTATTTCTTGGTATGTAAACTCACTATATATTCAACCATTTTATCTATATATTGATGAACAGTTGGGTTATTTCCACTTTTTTGTCATCACGAAAATGACGTAGTAAATATTTTTGAATGCATCGTGCAGGGAAAAATTCAAAACGTGAGGTTGAGAGGGCAAACGAAGTAACACCTGTAAATTCGTAAATGTCAAAATTCCCTCCGAAGAGGTTTTATCTGTTTTTGTTTGTTTTTCCATCTTCAAAGTTCTTTTGGACAAACAGAACTCTGGATTATACAGAAAACAGGCTTCTTTATTTGAACTTGACAGAGCATCACCTCCTTTGGGCTTGGCTGGACTAGGTGAGGGGGCTTTGAAAGGAACACCAACGTCAGCGAGCGATATTGTGTGCCAGAGCGGAGTGGCAGGTGGAGCAAGGACCCCCGCGGGTCTCGGGGGTCTCGGTGTGTTTGCAGGGCTCTCCAGGAGCCGGAGCCCGCCCGCCGCCCGGAGCCCGAGGCTTTCGCAGCAGATGGAGAATCCATTTTTAAGTCCAGGCAAGAAAGGGCTCAAGGATCGAATTTCCTCCCTACAAATACGCATCGATCGTTTCGGGGCATTCCCTGGCTGCAGCGCCGGCCCCCTGCCCTGCCCGCGCCACGCCCGCGACGCGAGTTGCCCACGCGCCGCCCGGCAGCCGAGCGCCCGGGGGTTTCTCGGCAGGTTGGGCCGTGCGCGCTGCCGGAACTGCGGGAGCCGCCTGGATCCGCATCGCTCGCGCGCGCGGCGCCACCCGCACCTGCCCGCGGTGGTGTTTGCCAAGTGCAACCCCGAGCCTCTCGGGGTCTCGGGTTTAGCTGCACCCACGAGGCGGGGGACCCGCAGCCGACGCCTGAGCACGGCGACGGTTCAGTCCCTTCCTGCCCACAACAATTTCTTTTCTGCCTGCGATCGGCAGGCGCATCCTTGAGTGGAGACTAGGCCCCGCCTCTGGTAGAGGAAAACAGGCCCGGGCTGCCCTAGACCGACCGTTTCAGGTGCTCTGGGGAATCTGCAGCTGGGGTAGGAGCGGCAGCGATGTTCAAGTGCAGGCTAGGCAGCCCACCCTGGGCCAGAATCATCTGCGTTCCCCAAGTAGGGGACACTGCATCCACCACTCCTCCCTGCCAGGGCCCCACCTGGGTCCGTGGGCTGCAGAGGACTCCGTAACTGGCCTAGTAGGCCACTGCGGGACTAGAGCCAGTGACCAATACAGAATCTTATAACAATTCCAATTAGCTGCCAACATGTAAAAACATTTGAAAATGAAATATCTGGCCATACATACAATCAGCTCTGTAGCTGAGAATCTGCCATCCAGTCTTAGCGATTTTCTAACATGACCAAGGAATGCTTGGTCTTTCTCATTGCTACTACCAGGCTGCTGCTATAGGCGTTAGTATGTATCCCTGGTGGAGTCACAGAATGCCATATTGGGGGCACCCTAGTAAACAAATCCTTTGGGGCGTCTGGGTGGTTCAGTTGGTTAGGCATCAGACATCGGCTCAGGTCATGATCTCAGGGTTCAAGAGCTTGAGCCCCACATCCGGCTCTGTGCTGACCGCTTGGAGCCTGGAGCCTGCTTCAGATTCTCTGCCTCGCTCTCTCTCTGCACCGCCCCCACTCATACTTTGTCTTTCTCTCTCTTAAAAATAAACAAAACTTTAATAAAAAAAAAAAAAAGAAAAGAAAACAAATCGCTTTAGCTTCCTCTGATGCTCCATGCTGTGAGTTGGTCAAGGTCTCCAAGTGTGTGGCAGAGTTGAATTGGCACTCTGTTCACTGATGAGGGCCTAGAAGAGTGGAGCGTCTTGTCCAAGGTCACCCAGCCAGGGGATGGCAAGGGCAGGTCTAGAGCGTTCCTGAACCATTGGCCAGTTTCCTGGGCTGCCTGGGGCCTCAATGCAGCACAGCCATTAGCCACAGATGTCACACGTGATTCTTACCTGGGCTCTTGGGCTTTTGACCTAGTAATCATTGGTCAGACCAGCCAAACATCTCTGGCCTCTATCTACACCTATAGAATGGAGACAGTAGTCCATAGGGGCTGGCGTGCGTCTTAGTTTCAGTTTTCAGGTGCTGGGTTCTTGTGTACAAAACTTTATAGACCTGTGGGTAGCTGTTCCTTATCCTCACGCACAGCCTGAATACAGACCCGGCCAGAACTACAACTGTACTTGAATGT